CTAGAGAAAACACCTGCCCACATCCTGTTCAGAAGTTAAGAAGGCAAAACTCAAATGGCAGTTTACCAAGTTACATACCCACGCCACTCTTCTCCGTCTTGTGCCATCTCGCCATTGTACATGAATCTGTGAGGCTCCAAAGGACACCCGCCACCAAGGAAACCAAAGTTTATAGGACACAGACTTGAAGACAGGTGAAAAACAAAGGCACTGCAAGCGAGATCCGTTTCCCAGCCGCTGTCGCTGAGGACTAGCAGACAGGCTGAGGCAGCTGCGAGGGTTCTGCGAGATTTGCTGCTGTTCTGAGCTCTGAGCTTCCTTCCTCTTTTCAAACTCGAGATATTGTACCCAAGTGTCATGGGGGAGGGGAATCCCAAACTGGGTGTTTCTGTCGCATGATACTGGCTGTAACACATAAGCAAGCAAAAAGGAGAAAAACCACCCCAGTCCTCTCCTGCACCAACCTTAAACTTAAGATCTAAGCTGGAAGGCTACTGCATGCAAAGAGCAGCTACAATAACTATCTCTAACTTTTGGTTAGCTCTGTTCCAAAACGTCAAGGGACTGCATTTCTTAACTGACACCAAGAGCAGATGTTAAAGATTTGACTCCATGAGACGCTACATCTTAAAACCTACTTTCTTCTAACCTGTCCCGGAGTGGGGATTTGATTTTCATAATGACTACCCCTCATAAGAGAAATGAAGACAAAGCCACAACATTTCAAACCCCACCCTTTTTATTTCTGTCATTTTACCTTTGGAGGAAAAAGTAGGAGAGTTTCTTTTTATCCTCTAAACAAAGCTACACTTTCCTAAAGACTTATTGTCAAGACAAAACTTCGAAAAGTAACTTATTGCCTATTTACAGCCTTTATTTCCACACAGGCTGCTGCATGAGCTGACTTACATAATGACATTTTGGACATGCAAAGATCAAGGCAAGTTGCTAGTAATTTGGATTAAGGACAACATACCAAATCGAAGACAAGGATGTCATCTCCGCTCATGTTCTTACTTATAGTGTGGAATTAAAAAAAACCCCAAGCTACAAACAGAAAAAGCTTTACAATATGTACTGTTTCTTTATCTCCTGCTCAGTACAACAAAGACATACAACAATCCTGTTCTCTGGGTATTACATTGCAACTTTGCAATCATTGTTTATCAACACTGATTGATAGTGCTGTGCTACATCTGTCAGAATATTTTTGAGAACACGTGACATGTCAGATCTCAGTTTTAACCAGCGATCACGAGAAGCACAGACTGCCAGTCTGTCTCATCGCACATGGAATTCTGATACCTACTTCTGGAGTAAAACCACCTTAAACTTTACCACAGATTTCCTTGAATTGCCCTAATCTTAACTATGTCCACATACTAGTTTAGGAAAAGGATTTAGCTAGTTAATTAGCTATTTCCCTCCCTAAAATAACATTGAAATTCATGTTGTGTTTAATAAAGTGAGCTAGATTCCGAGCAACTCAGTATCTCCATCACAATCAGCTTCATCTAAGAGCCCTACATCTTTCTTTTCTGTGGAACATTTAACTTTTCTTTATCTATCAAAAAGAGATTTTCTAAGGATGCCTTCCTTACTCCTCTGAATCCCTGCAGCAGCAAGTCACTACTTCCCATATACTATTTGTCCTAGGGGTCGTGACTTGCATTTATTTTGTTGTTTTACATTGCTCTTCCTCATTATGTTTCCCTATAGTACAAGTCCCGAGGAAAATTGTTCCTTTCTAGCACTCATTTAAAAACATGCATCACCATGTAGGTCTAATAAGCCTAGTCCATACAACACTACTATATTTTGAAAAGAAATGATCCAAAGAAGTGACATACAGAAGTTTCACCTCCAAACTGGGATCCAGTTTGCAACACTGTTCTGATGCCCCAAATCTCTTCCATCTCAAAGATCTGATTCTGCAAAAGGTACAAGAGACCTAAACACCCCTGGACATTTGAACACCGCTCTGTCCCCACCTGAGGGCTCGTGCCCCCCGCCTTACCATACCAACTCACCTCAAGTGCTCCGACTTGCGACCCAGGCCTCCGAAGCCATTGCTGCTTCCCACCTGCCATCCCTGCCCCCACACCCAGCTCTCGGCATTGCACACATCTGCCACTGCTTCCTCCTGTCACGCTTTCATGATGATGCTTTTGCAACTCATTAGCTACTAGCACCTACCACCACTTTCCCAGAAGTTAGCCAAGACAATCTCCTCCTCTGACTGCATCTGAAAGTCCCAGCTCCAATTCCTAACAAATGGATTGAGCAACAAAATCTTTTTTCAGCTTTAAGAGAAAAATGCATCCAGAGTAAAGCATGCGTGGTAGTCCTAAAATCCTATGTTGCTGCAGCAGAGAACAAACCCTAACAAGGATCTAGAGAATTAAGGCAGGTAGTAGTTACGACCTCTGTCAATGGAGGTTCCGATTCCAACTATTTGTTCGTTTATTTGTGTAATTATTATTCCACATTACTACTCCACAGAAAATAGCAGATAGAATCCTTTAATCATCCTGATGTACCTTACCAGCTTTTCCTTAAGTCTTTTTCCAGGCTGAAGGTCTTTACGGGCAAGTAGAAAATTCCTCGCTTCCCCAAAAGATAAAAAAAAAGATCTCTGCCTAGGGAATTCACGGGTAAAACTTACCTTGTGGGAGGTTGGGGGGCAGGCAGGGGAAGACAGCAGTATTAAAGGAAGCAAGATCCTGTAAGATGCTGACTAATCCAGTTATCAATTTTTAGCTATACTAACTTCCACCATACATAAAAATTTAAGCAGAATACAACAGTGGTGTTTAACTGGCTCTAAATTCTATTTATGCCAAGACCTGTGCGCACAGTTGTAGCAAAGCACCCGATGCAACAAAACAGAAGAAAAAAAGAAAAAATGCAAAGTATTGTCATGCACTTAAAGGACAATACCTTGGGTAAGTTATGGCACAACAAAAGCCTCAATTCCAGGCATCTTTCCCCACCAGCTAGTTATAATTCTGCAAAAGATTCATAAGCATGCACATATGATTACGGTTGTGAGGACCACACACTCCAAGTAAACTACAGCAGTACAGGTTAAGCTGTAGTTTTGGGGGATAGATAACCCTCATCTGTTTATTATCTGTTATTATTATTACTACTGTTATTATCATCTGTTGAAATAACATCCTGGTTGTGTTTAGAGCGTTAATTAACAAGTTATTTCAATTAAAAATTTATAAATTTCGCATGCCAAGTAGCTCAACAGAAATAATTAACTGTCTTAGTAGGCAACCTACAGTTCAGTACTCCCATTTAAAGTACATGCAGCCAACATCAAGTTAGTGAAGGTTTTCCTCGAATTAAAACAATTTTGTACTTTAGTTGATTTTATGCTGTTTGCATCTCAGTGTACAGTGACAGTAAACAAAGCTAACTTCAACTGTTTGCTTAAAAAAAAGTTTTCTTCTAACATTTTGTAGCATGAAAAGCATGATTTCTTCAGTGTGGTATTAAAGTTCACTTGCGCGGTCAAAGTCAAGAAGAGTAAGAACTATTTCATGGATACGTGTTGGCTTCCTGTAATACCATGGAATATCTTCACAAGAAATCAGATAGCTTATACAGACTTCATCAGTAAGAGCCTGAAGGATACAGATAGAAAGAAAATTTCTTAGGTTGAGAAAGTGATACAATTAGAGTCTGCGAGACATGGATTTATGACGTTTCATTCAACAACAGCAGTAACAGCCACCAGGCTGCACCTAAACGTAACTACATAGAAATGGACTGATAACAAGTTCAAACTGCATGGGGAAGTGACAAGCCACTTGGGCTCATTCAAGTTTACTTTGCCACATCTTCAGTCACTTCTGTTGTCACTCAGAATGTTACAGTTCAATATTTGTTGAGATGAGCGACTGACAAGCTGAAGCCACCCATATGCACAGTCATAGTGAACACAATGCTAGGCATCGCTTCTGAGCTGGCGCAACTGGAAACAAGCACATCCCAACAGCTGTCTTAGACAAGTCCATTCAGATTCATAAAGTTAGCAATTTCTCCAAAAGGTACCTAGAACATTTTATGCAAGTGATTGTCTTCCCCTGCCTCACCACAAACCCGTAACCAAGCCCATTATGTTTCTTCAACAGATAACTTAAGACACTGTATTTGTAAGGTACATTTATACATGGTCTAGACACGTTCTGGTGGTGGGAAAGTTACAGTCGCATCACTACCAAATGAAACAGTGATTTGACCAAAGCTAGAACACAACAAACAACAAATTCTTTATACGGCCTGTTTACATTTACTCTCTTGGTGCTGACTAGCAGTATCTGACATGAGCTTGAAGTTGCATCTGTTTAAAAAGAGGCACATGAGGAGCCTTAGATTCCAAAGTACCGATGGAGATAAACACACAGCAGGTCAAGCTGTCAACCCACTGGGTTGTAAGATTGTTTCCCTAGATACTTGTTTCACAATAGATTTAAAAGGAAAAGTCTTAAAGAGCTTTCATCTTCACTACTAAGTCTTTTACTTAGAAAGTGGTTAACTTATTCACTAGAGGGAGCTTAAACCACAGTATAATGAGTCAAATGAAGTAATCTTAAACTTCTGTATAAATGCTGGGGGGGAGAATTAATGGAACTAGCTTAAGTGTTCTCCTCAGACTTATTCTCCATGAAGCATCACCAGAAAGTTACAGGAAGTTAAGATGTGTCTCCTAAAAAAAAAAAAACCAGTGACACATAGCACAGGCATTACAATTTCTTAGATTTTATTAAGTGGTACTTTTTAAAAAAAAAAAAAAATCTTTTCTACAAAATACCTCACACAAACAAAAAAATTGACAGCTTCACGTAAATGTTTTGTCTCAAATGCAATACAGTCTACCTTTTAGGAAGGAAGAGAAAGGAGGTTTATTTGACTTAGTAGTATAAATACAAGGATTTATAGAGTTTCAAAAGAATACTACTCCCAGAAAATGCATAAAAAGACTCATGTGCACCTTGGCAATCAGGTCAGCCTGAAAGTTGAACAACTAACTACACATTGGGGGAAAAATGTTAACAATTCTGAATACGGGAATTGGAAGAAATTCAGGAGCAGGTGACTTAGCTGAGTTCTGCATCAACATTGTCTAGTCGGTCTTGCTCAGGGTTGACCTCTGTCTTACTGTATTATAAAACTTCTGTAGCAAGTACTTATCTTTCAGAACAGCACTGTGCTACAAACAGATAGCAATTAACACGTGCTTAGAGACTCAGCCAAGATTCAAGACAAGGCATCACTTCAGGTCAGGTTGCCAGGGAACTCATCAGGTGCCGCCTGGGGAGTTACCACAAGTGCAACTCTCATTAATGCAATCATACTCTTCAGAGAGCAAGGCAGATCAATATTTAAATTAGGGACCTGTACATAAGTTTGCTCAGTATTGCCTGCTGAAGCAGGACTCCAAATTGTTCAGGTTCCTTCCAGAAACGAAGTTTTATTGCTGAGCACACTGGTTTTCAGAAGTTTGTTTAGAAGATACATATAACGTCGTATATTTTTTCTTTTGTGCTTTCTTCTCAGTCGTGATTTTATTTTCTTTCTTATCTTCTTCTGTAGTTTCAAATCTGGATTCAGCTGTTAACCTATAGGCAAAGCAACCATTCTAAATACATATTTAGTTAATAAAAAACAGGACTAAAATAAGAGTTTTAAGCAAAATAAACAAGCCAGCTGGCATACAAGACGATCCATATGTAAACACAGAGCAAGCAGTGTTTAATAAAATAAAGCATTTTTGTATCAGTCCTAGTCACGTTTTATCACTTCAGGTACCACCTTCCCCCACCCATCTACTGAAATGTTTTGGAGAAACGGTTGCTGAATGTGTTAACTGGTTGGGATCAGCCTTTAAAAAAAAAAAAGCCACCAACACACAACAAACTGACTGTGCCATGCACATAAAGGAGATCAAGTCCACAAAAGCACAACTCCAAGTGAAAAGTCCCAGCAACATAATACAAACGTGAAGTCAAGCATTTTGCTTTACCACCACCAAAACCAAGAAAAAACCCACTACACTACAAGCAACATATGAGTTTCCAACCTAGTTCTGCACTGCTGCTCCCTTTATCTTAATGCCTGAATATCTGAAAAGAAGCTGTTGCAAAAAAATTTTCAAGCTCTAAATTGCATCATTTGTGCACTGACATGTTTTAACTCTGCATGAATGTAGAGGGGAATACAACTGCCACATTGCTGACAGAGAGGCAAGTTATAAACAAGTTTTAGAGATCTGAGTACTATCAGATGTTTTGATTCTTTAAGATTACTTAATAAATGTACGAATGTGTCATTAGAACAAGTTCATGAATAGTGGTATTTACTCAACCAAATCACCCACAACCAACACTTACACACAATTAATTCCACAGCAAAAGAAAATACGGAAAATGAAGTTCCAAATTAAACCTTGCTTTACATACCAACACAAGTTCTATGCTGATTTATCACCACTTGTGTTAAAGCAATTCTCTAGTGACCTTGTGGATTTCTAGCGGTCTCAAGAGCCTCCAGTGAGCAACCCACAACAGTCTACAGCTGCTTTCAGTGATGGTTTTCCAAACAAGAATAACTGCTACCCTATTGTTAGAGATTTATTTGCAAGAGAGATGCGGCTGAAGATGAGGACTGTGAAAGGAGCCGTAACAAAAAAGTTTGGGGATATTTAGCTACAGATCTGCTCGCACCCCCCCGCCTATCTTTACACACAAATACATCAAAAAACTGCACAAGCAATCTGCATATTATTTTCTATAGGCATTGTCTCAATAGACTGAAGAAAAACATGCTTTGCTGTGCATCTCCGCCAGGTCAGCCAAGTTTGCTCCACTGTTTGCTTTGTAGTAAGTCCACACCTGTAGTCCTGGTGCCAAACCATTTTTCATCCCTAGTCAGCTTTCCCCCAGCTGCCCTCGGTTTTACATGCACTGCTACTTGTAAGCAACCAAATAATCTGTGGTTACAACAGGAACCAATTATTCAGGGAATAAGAAAAAGTGTATTCTTAGTAATCATCTTCTGGTTAGTGTTCAGTCTGCAGTTCAGTCTGTGCTCCCCCAGCAGCTGTAATTAGGGAGGGACAGCTTGTGTCTATGCCTCTGTTCCTCCAGTAGCTTCTCCTCATCGGTCCCTCCACTCTCCTGCCTTAAAACCTCTGTGCAAGGCCACCAAAACCATTACTCTAGTGGCCAATATTTCCAACAAGTATTCCCTATAAAAATACAGAACAAAGCAAGAACTCAAACCAAAAGGCCAAATAAAAACTGAATTGACTTAGAATATGTTCCAAAGCAGCACAGTTGGATTTATACAAAACACTCCCCCTTTACAGTATTAGGTAATTCTGTTCACGTATAGTGAAACAAGTCTGGAAATCACATTCACATCAGAAACATCACATAGTTTCATGAAACAACTGTTAGAATTCATTATTTGAATAGGGAAAAATCACCTTTTGTGCACTGAATGCACACCAAAGTGTTTATGCAAGTCAGAATAAAGTAAGCTAACTTCCTCAGACTAGAACTATGTCAATCAATACCTGAACTAATTTAGCATAGGACTGACACTGACTTACTAAGCTGAAATGAATTAGCCATTTCATGTTAGTAAGCTACACTTTGAAGTTAGTTACAGCTTTCATCTGGATCAGCAACAGATTGCTGTAATTTGCTTCACTTATGAAAACCTTAAGTTTGTGGCAGCGAGGTCCTCAGAAATGCCTGAAGATTCAAGTAATTGAGTTTTAGTGTGACAACAAACAGATGACCCAAGCAAATAAATTATTCCTCTTTCATTCTTAGTATCTTATAGTTGGCCTGCAAATGCTTCTGGACTGATTATTCTATAGCCTACAAGCTGTTAAACCATACTTTCACTACTATACTAAACTAAACTTTGAAAAAAAACACACGTTTTACTAGTCTGTAATAGATCACGGTTACAGGCTGCTGCATATAACAAGAGGAGGGACGAAACAAAGGAGTTCAGTTAACAGAGACCACAGTTAACAGCTCAGCATTGTTATGAAATTAAGTCTCATGGAGTTCAAATATCAGCCAGTCCCATTTTTAATTCTGTTTACCAACCTTTGTGATAGTGAAGGAGCAGCAGAGATGAAGCGTTATGCAACGCCCGTTCCCTACCCCTCACACCACTCGGCAAGAAGGAGATAGAAGTTGGAAATGAAGTGAAATTAAGCCTGGGAAGAACGGTTGGGGTGTAGTGGGAAGGTGTTTGTCTGTCTTGCTGTCCCGCTATTTTTAATTGGCAATGAATTAATCTTCCCCAAGTCAAGTCTGTTTTGCCTGTGACTAACTGATCCTTGTCTTTATCTCAACATCCAAGCTTTTTCCATCTTATTTTCTCTCCACCATACCTGTTGAAGAGGGGAGTGACAGCAGCTGGGTGGGCAACTGGCAGCAAGCCACAAGTAACCCACCACAGTCCTCACACCAAGCCAGCTCACAGACCAGCCCTTACAGCACCGCCATATTTCTTTAAGCGTTCACACAAGGAAATGGACAGATGAGAGATAACAGTGAAACACTTCCACTTAAGAAAAAATGCTTGTGTAAGTATGACACGATTCTATCTACTTTAGAATTGTAGAATCATACACTTTGTAGACTAAAAAATGCTTGTGTAAGTATGACACGATTCTATCAAGCTTTGACTTTAGAATCGTAGAATCATACACTTTGTAGACTTCAGGAATGAGACGCAATGAGGATTCCTTCTACCCATTTAAGGAAAAAACTAGTCCGATCAGATGGAGCTTTAGCTCCCAAGGACAAATGCCATGCCTAAAACCCCAAAGAGAACAAAATTAGTCAGCCAGATCTCCTGCTGAGCCAAGTGGCTATAGGCATTTCCTGTTTGAACGGAGTCCAAATGAGGTAGACTTGGTATATGTAATCCAACTAAATAATTTAGAAGAGCAAATAAGCTCTTAGGCACACAAGCCCTTCTTTAGAACAAACTAAAGCAAACAAGCTCAAATCTAAACGCCAACTAAGCTGGGCAGCAAGGGCTGGAAATTGCTATTTTCGTTTCAGAAGTAAAGCAAAGCATTCCAATACAGAAGTGTACCTTTTTATAGACCAGTTGACCTAAGAGAAGATATTATTACCTAACCTTTGCATTGCCCGAGTTACAATAGCAATTAACAATTAAAAATAATCACTTAAGTACTTAAATCTTTAGTCTCAACTACTATGTTCTCACTCACGTACCATAACCTAATCAATACCGTCACCTAATAATGGATTGCAGTGTTTACTTGCTTTAAACTCTTATTAAGTATATACACACACGCAGTGCAGATACGCACATGTGTTATTAGCTCAAAGTTACCTAGCTGCACCTTGCTAAATCATATTACCAAGCAAGACTCTTCAAACAAGGACATTTGTCACCCATACAAGTACATACAGATCACTTCTGACCACTTCTTCACTCCCTCCTAAGCTGACAATAGTTTTCACACACCATTTTCTAAAAATGACATTTGCAATCCTTTCACAGTTACTATGGCTCTTTTCACTGCCACATTTCATGGGCTAATAATGACAGAGCTAGATTAATTATTGCACAAAGACTACTCCAGTTACTAAACTAACCCCCAATGACAACAGCCTTTTCAGCCAGAGCATCACATTTTACTTAAAACAAGGTGAAACACTGACAATTATGCACCGTGCATGCGCCAGTTATTTTTTCCTCCCCCAAATTCTCTGTTTTCAGGTCCACATTTCTGCTCAAGTTGCCAATATTTTTTGTGCCTTTGTCTTTAGCTGTGTTCCTACACAGGGTTTGGCCACACCCATCGCAGAACAGTCCAGAGAATCTTTTAGTGTTTATAAATCCAACCCCTTAGATACTCAGATTTTATCATGACTTCCCATTTCATAATAAATCACAGCAGATCAAGGTTAAGTAAATCCTCAAGGTTATCTTAATAACATCACTGATGGGGATTTAGTAGTTAAGTAACACTGTCAGAAACATGACTAGAATCTTCTGCCTGGGCTTGCTTTTTACAGGTTCATACCACCATTGACAACTTCAAAGCTGATATGGAGTTTTGTAGCTTTTTTGTTGTTTTCATGAGTTCTATTTTTTTTTAAAGTCTACTGATTTATGTTTTATTCTTTATTTGAACCAACGGCAATGGGTGCAAGATTAGAACCCTCCCTCTGAACTATTACTTCCTCTTCCACTTTTTCCACCCGCTCTGTTTTCAAACATCAACCGCATAAAATTTCCTCTCCTCCCCCCTCTTTGGTAGGTTTCCCCCTTCAGTTAACATAAACTGTTTCCAACAACTTCCTGTTTGCAGACACCATATATTCCTTTCCAAAAGAAATACAGAAAATTAAACTTTTCACACCCAGGTTAGATGCTATCCATTCCTTCATGCATGCAGAACACTGTCAAAACACAATACCATGGCTAAATTATCCAGACTTTCCTCTCAACTTTCACCACCCATGTTTGACCTCCCTGATCTTTCCTCCTCAGCAGCAGTCCCTGCATATTTTGACAGCTAAACTGCTATTTCTGCCATATTCTTTCCAGACTCTTTCAGAAGATTGTACTGTTTCATTACTTTAAATCTGTAAACAGCATCCAGTGCAACATTGAATAATTGATCTGAGAGTCGAAACACCAATCCCATTACTTCTGAATGCCATTAATTTTGCATATACTGTACAGATTTCCACGTTAGGCCTTCCTCCATCTTTGAAGCTGCTGCCATTCTAGATTCCATAACTATTTTTACTAGCAGACACGAGCTAGTTGTAAGCTCAAAACATCCAGACTATCCCAGATTTTTTTTTTCTCCCCCCACTCTGACACGTTTACCAAGTTAATTAACATGAACAGAATACAAAAGCATCAACTGGAAATAAGTCAGCATTCCTTTTACCAAGATAAAAGAGTTGGAGTTAGTTACTGTACTAAGTTGCTTTACCATCTATCAAAAAGTAACTTAAATTCTCAGTTCAGGGGAAAAACTTTATCTTAGTTCAGCAGTTATGTTTCTAGTTATCATGCATCCAGATTATGGAAATCAGTTGTCTGACAGCACAAATAGCATAATTAATTGGCTATTTTATTGTACAATGCAAGTTCTGTTAACCCAATTCAGGTTAAGAATTAATTTTAATTTTCTGGCTTTTAGCTGAATCTGAAAGTTGATGAGGACTGAAATTAAGAATGAAACTGAAGCATGATACCTATTGCCTTTGCCACTTTGTTATGTTACACAGTTGCGTGGCAGCTTTCAAGGGACCAAGAAAACAGTCCTATTTCTCAAGTCAGAGCAAACCGAGTGAACTGTCACGCTATCTGCACACCTTAAACATTTTCAAGTAGTGAGAGAGCGATTTCAAAGATTGTTACAGTTTCAAGAGTCTTTTTCATTAGTCATCATTTTAGTCTTTCTAAAAGGTTTTGAGAGGTTCAGCGTAGGCAGTCGGAGCTGAGGAATTACACTGCATGCAACACTGAGGAAATAGATAAAGAAGTGGATAGCACAGTTCATGCAGCGAAAGAAAAGAGATGCAGGTCTGTGATGGTTGCCTTGACCATAGACAGAAGCTGACACTGACCTGGGGGTGGCTGAAGTCAGGGAATTACTTCCACTTCTGCTATACGGAATAAAGGCATCATGATTCTCATCTTTAATTTTAACTCTCTTTCTTTCTCTTTCAGGTTCCACTACATTTTGCATTGCTTGAAGAGCTATATTTATTGGTGGTGCTTCAAGAGTGTGTTTTTTTGGAGAAGCAACACTTCGCTCCAAGTCCTTTGAAGTCATCTTTGTTTCTTCCTTGCTTGGCAATTGATCAAGAGCGACTTCTTTTACTGAAGTATTTTTGCTGTCCAAGTATTCACAAGTACTGTCCACTGGAATCTTCTCCCTCTTTGTTTTAACTTTAGTGCCTTTAAGTAATTCTAAGAAAAAGGGAATATACTTTTTGTACACAAGTGAAGCTGCAGTTAAACCTGTCCACCAACAAGTTCATAAGAAAACTAACAAAGAATATTTCATGTGATTAAAGACCTTGGAATAATTCTTAATAGACAATTGACATCCCATAAAGAATGTCCATCCATATAGTCTGTTATCAGCAAGTAAGCATCCCAATAGAAGTCAGCTTGAAAAAGAGACAAAAATATCTTTCTCCCTATCCACTCTCCCCCATTACCAAGGCTTTTAATTAGATGCTCTGAACCACATGAATGTGCTCAATTATTTTATTTACGTTTTGGAGGCTCCTGAGGTAAGCTTCCACAACCCAGGTTTTAAAGTTAAATCCTTCGGGTACGGACAAGTACCAAAACTAATTCACCCATCTGGTTCCCCATTCATCTTCTACCAAGGCTAGAACTCCCTTGTTTCTGCACACACCCAGGCATCAGCTGTTGTTCAGGCAGGCCTCTGCTGTCAAAACTTAATCCACATTAACTTGAGCTACTAAACAGTTTTTCCTCCAAACACTTCGCACTTATTACAAAGCTCTTATCAGCTGCCTACATTCAGAAAGCTGATACTTCGCATCAACAGAGAGATACTGCTACTAGTATGAAAAGCACCTCCTGAGAACTTGTTCCTACCCACTTCACTACAGTTATCTAGCTATACTTTAAAACCTCTGAACACTGTAATTTGTATTCTTTAGTCTTCTGAAATTAATATAGTTAGTATACATACAGAAATACGGTCCTGGAACAACGTATGGCTTTACTATTGAGGCAGCCATTTAAAACACTACTTTATATCTAGAACTAACCCAATGTCTTCCTGCTTAATGTTGTTCAACTTGCGAAGGTTGAGAATTCCCCCCCCCAAGGAAAAGTAATATTTACCTTCAGGTTCGTATTTCATTTTTAGCTCATCCAGCATAACTCGCAAGTTCATATTCTCACTCTGACAAGCTTGCAAATGCCTCTCATTTGTGAAGAGTTTTCTTTCAACTTCCAGAACCCGCTGGCTCTCATACAGAGCTTTCATCCTCTGCAAGGATAGTTCGTTTTTCAAGGTTTCAGTTTCCTTGCTAGGGTAGGAAGAAAATTATACAGTCTCTCAGACTTGGCTGTTGGGGTTTTTTTCATTTGTTTTTGTTGCGTTTAGTTTGTTGTTTTTCACTAAAGCAGCAGATAAAGTCAACTAAGCATTCAGCAGCTTCACATAAAATCCCTATTTGTACATTAGTAGAAAATGAAGGAGACCTCTTACGGAACAATGAAAGTTTTCACTTGAACTTGACAGAGCAGTGAGTTTAGTTATCAGAGATATAATGCTCGTTAAAAACAAAGCTGTATGCTGAACAACGCACACATGCATACATAACTGGTTTGAGAAACTTTCCCTAACCTACAAATTCACTATTTCATCAGGGGGTTTTCAGCCTGTGTATAAATTAATGTAACTACTTCTGTAACTGACAATACAAGCCTTACACGAAGGTGCTACACTAAGTGACTAACAGAAAAATAATTATGTTAATACTCAGCACACATCCTTGCCCCTGTTTCAGAGGCTGTTGACTTCCACACAGTAAGCTCTGAATTGCCATTCCTCAGCAATCCTGAGGTACTCTGATCATACCAGTTTCTCATAATAGCAACACAAGTGAGGGGACAGACTTCTCAGGAGCTCCCACAGCAGACCATTGCCTCCTGCTGGAACTGCAATACTTGCATCTGAGGGCTTAAAAACAATCCTGAGGCCAAACATTATGGATTTCTAATTAACAGATATGGAATTCACTAGCCAAAGAACACATCTCAACTAAATAGTTCAATAAAACATTTCAAGTGTTATTATCTGGCCCTTTTTAGAAGAAAAATGTATAGACTATAGACTTTAAGAAGCTTCATACAGTTCTCTTACGGGTTATTTTTTTTTTTTTTTTTGTAAGTCATCAACTGTCTTGTATCTAGAAGTACTAAAATTCCTAGAAGAAAGCAACAATAATATAAAATAGCTTTGCTGCTATCCTTTGCAACAGTAAGTAAAATGACAAACAAAACAACTCTCAATCCTATAGCAAATATAGGGTAGTTCCACAGTGTTAGGAAATGAGACAACAAACATTTTCAACATACAGCCAGTGGACTACAGAGAGAAAAAAAAAAAAAAAAAGGAAATAAAAACAAGTAGCTAGAAGATAACCAGACTACAACCAACGTCTAAGCCTCAGACCATTCAGTACTTACTTGGAGTTGTCAAGTTTCATTTGCAGTAGATCTGCATAGTAACCATCTTCAGACTCTCCTTTTGAGTTACTACTAGCTCTGGATTCTTCCATATTCTCATATAAAGTCTGATAAAGAAAAAGTGTCAGGTTGGCAAATAGTGACCTTTCAGAAGCACACTAGCTTAGTCCTTAGGTGAACTTTCCCATGCATTTCTATAGGGAAGCCTCATCCTGGGGGCATTTACACATACAAGAGGGCTCAGTTGCTCAGAGTACTTCCTTATTTGTTACAAATGTCAAATATCACTGAAACTGACAGTTCTCTCTCATTCGCCAAAAGAAAGAGAAATAAGAAAGCAAGTTCTCAACTTCAGGAAGTTTTCAAATAGCATTGCAGAATGCTTATCTTCCCTTATTTTCAATTAAAAAGGATATTTAGTTAACCCACAGAGAATTTAATTCAGCCTTTATTTCTAGGCTTCAGCAGCTGGACCCCAAAGGTAAGGAACATAAGCCATGTTAATCAATAGACAAAACTGCAAAATCAATTACGTCTTCTAGATGAGAAAGTTGGTTCATAGTAAAGATGCCATAAATGCAGTAGAATTTCTACAAAATACATCGGTAACATGTGACAGTCTGGGGTTTTTACTTTGAGTCTTTTTCTGAAGAAGCAGTACTCAGATTTAATACTGTCCTAAAGATGTCACAGGCTTCTGTCAATCACTGACTACAGGTACTTTTGATGCTTATTTGAATGAATCATTTTATTTCCTGACTACTTATTTATGGCATAGAGACAAAAATAAAGACTAATCAAGCTTATACATGACAAAACTGGCAAAGCAATCAAGCTGTCTCAATTGCTTACTAAAATGGGTTAAGCCTAGCTTTATGCCACTTTGGTTAAATGCAGAATAGGGGACACTATCCTGGAAAGTATAATCCTAATGCGTAAGCTGATAGACCTAAGTTTACATTCCAAAGCTGTGATAAGAAAGGGCCAATCGAGTCCATAAGTATGTAAGAAACTAAAAAAGGCTACAGTTTTTCACTCTGTATTCACCCAAACATCAGTAACATCACAACAGTGCATACAGGTGTTCTCATGTCTCTTGCACCTTCCAAAGCATTGACAAGATGCTATGCAGTTGCATAAGAGGACATAAATATCCAAGAAATCCAGTATAGCTGAGAGACTAAAAAGTGATAAAGCCTAAGTACACACATTAAAAAAGTGCAATGATTATGTCTTCCAAGCAAAAAAAAAAAATCAAACGTCACAGCTCAGCAAACTTTGACCAAGTAACTGAGTTTAAGCACTACAGGTAACCATGTAAAATATGAAGATGCCAACACACAGGAACGCAGAAAAGATTGTTTCTCCAAATATCTGCTTCTCTGAACTTCAGGAGTATACGTTCCCCAGCTGTGAAACAGAACTTTGGTCAAATAAAGGTATGAGTAGCCTTTGGATCCCTTTTCGAACTTGAGCATAGACTTCAGATAATTTTCATAATTGTTATTCTCATGTTTTAGCTCCTGATTATGACTTTTCCACTTAATTAACGGCCACATACCTTAAATTTTTCTAGCTGCCTCACTTTCATAAGAAGATCTTCTATCTCGCCATTCTTTTGTTCTAACATTGACTGTAAGCGTTCCAGCTGCTCAAATTCTGCCTGAGAGCCTTTCATCTGTAGCAGTGCAGCCATCTGCAGCTGGAAAAAAGGAAAAAAAAAATCCTTACAAGAAATCCTGGGTTAAATGACTGAAAACCTCAGCCTCTTACCCAGAACAGTTTGGGTAGTCACGCCTTATAATTCTAATCCTGAATGTAGAAGTGCACTAGATGCTTTAGCTCAGTAGTCTTCACAACATAGTCTTCACAGTTATCATCACAGGTTGACACTACAAATCTGTAGAAGAGCCGAAAACTTACTTAACAGGGTAGTCCTGAGGTATCAGATCTTTCTCTGTATTGACTAAGGAACCTATAAATGTACCATCAAGGACACACACAACATTTCACATTCAAACCATAAACACCAAGTCAGCTAGAACCAAACTACAGTCCAGGCTTGTTTATCAGAGCTAAAAATGCATCTGTCAAGAACTTCCCGCTTAGGAAAACACACCCTAGTTCACCAACAAGTCAAAACCACTTTTTTTTTTCCCCCAGTTCTGATTCCGAGGTATAGGTAACACTAAATTTGCCTTCTGTAATATTAATCCAAGAATTTCAGCTGCTTCTACTCTTTCAGCAGAACACATCCTTTCAAGCAAAGGAATACTCTTTGTCATTATGAAAGAAGTTTATCAAAGAAAAGTTTTGCATTTGTAGCAATTTTTCTGATGCTGTTAACATCGTAATATCACAGTATAAGGGCCTTAACACATTCAGTTAGAAGTGATACATCAGACATTGAAACAACTGGAGAAACAATGTGAAATGCAGTAATGGAAAGACTTAACAGGGCGTTAGTGATAACTGAGAAAAGCATTTACCCTACGTAATTTCCTATGTCAAGTAAAGGGTATCGATGGTGCTGTACACAAACTAGAGCTAAAGAAAGATTGAATCATCTCCTCTCCTCATAGCTTCTACAGGATGTTAGGCAGGCAAAATTTTAACCCCCTCTGGCTGACTACAACTATCCTTACATTTCCCAAGCATGTAGACACCCTATCTTTTGCCCTATCACTTAAAAGCCCTCTTGCTAAGCGTCAGAATTGCAGCTTGCAGTTGATCTACATACAAACAAAAGAACAGAAACCTTAAGAAACTAGAAGGGCTACTATGGGCTGTGGAAAACACACCACACATGGAAGAACTTTCACAGGAGCACTGCTTACATTCTGTTCAGGAGTGAGATCTTCAGAAGTCATCAGTAAATATCACATTCAGACATTCTGACAACTAAAGCTACAACAGCAGTTAACTATACTGTTGGAGTCAGCTGCTAAATGAAGAGATCAGTTAACTATAGATCAATCTTTAACACGCAGCATCACAACACAACACAAAGCAGAGAGGATCCTAACAGGGATCTAAAATGGCAGCTTAAGCAAATCAGCTGTCCAAACAAACAACATTGATATTAGAAGAAATTTTATGGAGACATACGAGTACAAATTGAAATTTCAAATGAGAACATTAAGTAGTAGAACAGGAACACCAATTTGCCTCAGCTCTTGTTGAAAATCTTCAGTATTGGTTATGTTTCTTATACCATTCGATCAGCTCAACTGACTGACCCTCGCATTACAAGGAGAAAATTTCTGAAGAAACTGATCCTATTCAATCATTTTACTCACTCAAATCTTTAGCTCTCAAGGTCAGATTTTAGTGAAAGAGAATTCCTTTGCTGCACCAGTGGTTCTTTTCCTTTAAGAATATTGTTCCAATTCTTTTCAACCTACTTCTCCACAAAAGCTGAGTAACACTGAAGATACAGGTTTGTGTTACCTATTATCATCACTCTTGATGTTTAAGCACTCAAACTCCACGATCAAGTATTTGATCAAAATTGAAGGATCCACTCTTGTGTTGGAAAAATCAGAAAACCTTCATGAAAACAGCTGGCAGTTTTGCAGCATCCCCTTTACATTATGTTGCAAATCAGCTTCTGCTAACTAGTTCTCAACAATATTAACCAACAGGCTCCCATCCTATGGAAGTGTAGTCTAAATGAAATAGTTATGACAAAAGTTATGGCTTATTCTTACACTAAAGATAGGGAGAAGCAAGAAAAGCATGGACTAACATAGAAACAAGAAAGCAACCCAGAGGGAAAAAGAAAATGTAATCAGAAAACAGAGTACAAGTTTGCCCTTTTCTTTACATTCGTTCCTGACAATGACAGTTAATACACAAATAAATCATTCATGTAGTACAAGAATCAGCTAAGAAAAGAAAAAGCAATTGTCAAGACAAACTGAATGCTAGTTTAACTGACAGGAGTTGTGTTTTACTTTTATCCATTTAACAACTACTGCCAAAGCAAGCAAACATAATGCCCTTGGCATAACTTGGAGTTCTAGCATAAAGTAGTAACACTACTCACAACAGAAAAAAGCTGATGTAACGTAGTCAAATAGTACTATGATGTCTCACTTGGGTTTTTTTTCCTCCCATTTCCCTCCCCCTAGACTACTGTATCATATTTTAAAGATCAAATCCCCTAGCCTGTGTACTAAAGCATTGCCTTATCAGGCCCCAAGGAAACCCTGGAGTATTACAGTAATGGTCATACCTTCATTCTTTGCAACTGTTCTCTAGTGAATGCATGCTGTTTTTGTAGTGACTGATATTTTATTTTCACACTGATCAGCTGTCGTTCCATTTCTGCCCTATGGTCCTCCACCTACAGAACATTGTCAACAATTATTACTATGAAAATTACAACACTTGTTGTCACTTGGATGATGACTTTTACAAGATGTTACCTAGCAATTGATGTTAATTCTGCAAATACTGCTTTTCCAGCAACAGTACTTGAAAATACACGCTATTGTCATTACCTCTGAGATAAAAGTGAGTAGACAGTGCTGTAAGCAGCTGAAGCCTGATCAATAAAGAGCAACAGATCTTTCCTTTGTTCTTTTGTTATCAAAATAAAAGAACTTTTCATATGCTTCAGTGTTGCTATAGAATAGTTTTGTCCATTGGCATCAGAACAGTTTAAAAAAAACATATGAACCGTGTACCAATTCAACCCATTCCCTGCATGTTGTCAGAAAACAAAGTAACTTCCTACACATTTAACAGCAGCTGAACTCTTAATCAAAAAAGTAATTCAAAACCCCTCCCAAATACTTAACCATCCAGCCATTCCAGCTACTTTCAGCATGTTTTCAAAAGACAGCATTTAAAAACACCTTTTAGTATTTCACAACATCTTCCCATGTTTCACATACAATCTCCTGTGTTAAAGACTGCTTACCAGCTGAACAAAACTACTCAGAGCTGCAGACTGAACTGTGATGAACCCTCAGTCCCATCTTCTGTCTCGATAGCCAGGTAACTTTAAGTGATTCCCTTAAGTTTACTAACTCCCCAACTTCAGAGCATGCATAAAATTGTTTTCCATAGGTCAGTTCCTAGACAGTTCAACACTGAAGTAGTATTTGAAGAATAGAGATTCATGCTGGCCAGATCAGGTACAGATACTCTAATATTTTCTATGCAATATAAGAAATAAAACTTATGAAGTATTTCTTTACTCTTCTGTATATTCTCAGGTATCTGAGACATAATTGTACCTCGGCAAAGAGAGAATTGCCTTTACGTGTAGGGTCCAAAGATTGCTGCACTGCATGATCCAGCTGAACCTGAAGCTCTTGATTAGCTTCACGAGCTTTCTAGATTAAAGCAAAGAGGATATTAGTCATGTAAGCATCTGATGTACGGCATATATGAATTTAATCAGATAGTTTTGCCTCTTTTCCATTTTGTATGTATTTAGCACAGATTATCTTGTACTGCAGTACTTAACTGTGCATACAGTTCTAGTCAGTAAGAGACAATCAATTTGGTTTCACTAAAAGGCTTAATACTATACTTGCTCTTCAGGACAAGAGCATAACTAAAACCTTTCAAATTAAGCTTTGATGTTTATCAACTGGATTAATATTACCATGACTATTAGCCTTGCTGTGTTATTTAGTCACAAATCCTATACTCGCCAGTACAAGTCTTCCAAGGCATTCAGTAGGAACTTGAAATAAAAGTGAGAATTCTATCAGGGACCTGCGAGAAGGTCCTGTTATGAGGCAGAATCCTGCAATGCAAAGGATCTCCATGCACAACATTCCACAAAAGAACACCAATAGAGAATTTGGCAACAGGCAATACCAAACATGACTAGCCGATATCCTTTTTTTCCCCCCTCTACCTTCTTTTTCTCCCTCCTTCCTCTCTCTCAAAGCTCCTCTGATTTCACTAAAAAACTAGCACCACAACTTGTGGAATTCAGGGATTATTTACCACTGCTGAATAAGATTAAGAGAATACCTCTAATGCATTACAGTAAGAAACTATTTCTTTTTCCCTCTCTTCTTTTTCTCCCTGTAGACGCTCCAGCTGATTACGTAGGTTACTGTTTATGAGTTCTAATTGTTCTTTACTGTACTGCAGTTCATTCAGCTTTTCTTCAACATTGGCCTAAACCAACAAAAAAGTATGAAATAAGTTTATAAAGCAATTTGAAGAAGAGCAGGCTCCTGTGAACCAAACAGGTTTGTTAGTAGTAATTACTTTTAATACAAAACATTACCCTGAAGATTTATTAAAGTCTAGTTATTAAGACTATCAATTTTTTCTGTGCATATTTTCTTCATAGTAAGCCAATCATAAGGTATCAGTATACAGAAAGCATCTAAAAATGAAATCAGCAAACGCACAGTTTTATCTCCAACTAGCCTACATTCTCAGTAATTTAGTAGTAGTCACACACCTTCACGCTTTCTAGTTCAGTGAGTTCTAGCTGAAGATTGAGCATTTCTGAAGACATGGTCTCATGTACGCGTTCAGACATCATATGTAGTTCTTCTGATTTGGCAGCAATTATTTCCTTCTGATGATCCACTTGGTGTCTTAAGTGTTTCTCCGAGAGTCGGGTTTCATCTAGTTCTGCTTTCAGGTTCTCCAACTTAAAGACAGTTGACAACTAAGTAGTACCATTTTATAATAAATTTTGAACAATAATTTTGACTCTGCTCTAACTACAGAAAATGTCTTAAAAATACAGCTTAAGAGTAAACTTCTTAAAATAAGCTTTGAAATTTAATGTACTTCACAACATAACTATGCAGAAGTTTGTTAAAAAACAACCAAACAAGCTCCTACACATTAAAACTATTTATTAGATTTGTTTTGGTATTAAGTGTGCAATTACTAGTTAAATACATATTTTTAAAATGCTATTAGCAACATTTTAGCTGTATTAGTTGCCAAACCTTGTTTTTTAGGTCACTGATTTCTTGTCCATAGACTCTGGCAAGCTGTTCTTTCTGTTTATCCAGTTGCACATTTTGCTGTTGCTTAAGGGAATCGCATTCAAAACTCAAGCTTTCCAACATTCGATTCTTAAGTTCAATTTCTCTCTGAAGAGAGTATTTCTCTTGTTCAAATTTCTGAAAGAAATAACATACTAATAAATCTAGACGTAATATTCATAAGTGCTTGGGGAACAACGTACTAAATACAGGCTCAGAACCAAAACACTAAATGCCTAAAACTTGCAGCTCATTCAACCTTTTGCTGAAGTCCCAATTAGGGAATTGTCATGCCCACGTTTAAAAAACAACCAAACAACCTGCTCTGAAATGTTACGACTTATTTGGTTGTATAAGATTCTCTTCTTCAGGGAAACCATGTATTTCTGTGCACCCAACATGAAGGGTGTGGGCATCTTTTCTCTAAGTGTAACAAAGAAATTTAGTGAGAGCTTACACTTGCTTTCTACCACCATGGAACCCAATTATGTTAAAAATTAAGTTACAGTCCATCAAGTGTTCCCCTACTGCGGAACAGCTGGCTTCAATATTTGATAAAGACATCTAAATTGCCTACTGTTTTCTAATAAATCACATCAATCCTTCCAGATTGAAGTAATCAGCTTCTCTCTATGTCTGATTGTGTATGTTGCTAATTATAAAGGGCAGCTTCATTTTACTCTTCCATTCAGCTAGCAACTAAGGGTAAGAAAAAAAAAATTTAAAAAGGAGAGTCTTGGAAGCAGAAAAGGCAAATAACAAAAACAAATTAGTCTCAAGATGCAGGATTTTCTCTCTTTTTTTTTTAAATAAAAAAACCTCTTAAAACACAAACCAGAATTTAAAAAAAAGGAACATAACAAAACTAAAAGCTGTCAGATACGAAACTGACCTCTATGGCCTAGTCACCAGCTTATCAAGGACAGGCTTAGCTCTCAAATATACGTGACAAGTTTTAACTCAAAGATAAAGACAGTGCACAGAAAAGGTTTGTGAGTGCACTGCTGACCAGACCCAAGGAAGGCAAAAATCAAGCATGGTACATCTACACAGACTTTCACAGAAGCGTACACAGATTTTTCTGAAAGACTCTTGTGCCTACTGCTAAGACTTACACTGGTGTTCACATGAACTGCTTTGGCTCTCAGATTCCAAACAGAGCCACAGATTCAAAAGCTCAAAAGAATCTGTTGGATAACCACAGTTCCCACAGAAGATGTTATTCTACTGTATCAAAGTACTCAATTCCTTTCCTCTGCCCTTGGAATCTATGTTACTAATTGATCTGGCTCACACACGCTTAGCTCACTACTTCACTCCAGCCTGTAACACAGGATTACAACCTATGGGTGCAGCTTCACAACACAGTGGCTACCATCTCAGGTCATCTACAGAAAAGGACGATCCTGCCCTGCCTTCCTTACTGCTTGTGCTTTCCAGCTACCTCTCTTGCACTAAGCTTACTAACAGCAAACTGACCAAAATAAGTTATTACAGCTCATTCAGAATAGCAGGGTGCTGTAACTCTCCAGCTGGTAAAAGAAACCAAACCAAAACAAACCAAAAACTACAATAAACCCACGTTATTTTAGCTCTATCACAACAGGAGGGATGGATGCACAGCCAGCAACAGACTAAATCAACAGCAATGGTATATCTGAAGCATGGGCTGACTGAAAACAAACAAACATCAGAATTAAAGGGTTTATGAAAAGTAAAAGATTTTCCTGATTGGTATTTTCTTGCACAATTACTAAGAAAACTGGTTGACTGAACAATCTCTATATTTCAACACTACACTACTCTCTTTTCTGAGCTGTAAAGAAATGTACTAATAAATTCAGAATCTCCTTGTATTTAGAAAATTTGAAAGCTTCACTACAGAAGAAATCAATTTTACAGTCTTGCTGTTAGTGTTCTTTTTACAGCTTGAAGTGATACAAAGCTTGCTGGGAGAGCATAACATGAATGAATTGCTAAACATAATCAAAACACATGCTCTAAAACAAATTTACTTTAGCACTCAGTATTCATTTTACATTAAAGGCAATTAATCCTACGCGGTACTGAACACTTGATGCATAATTAGCTATGAAGCCCTGTCCCATTTAGATAAAATTATGCTCAATATCTCAGAGATAAAAAGCCCTCTCTACAAATGCTTACACAAAAAAGGCTCATTAATCTAGACACTAAAAGGCATTTAAAACACCTGTGGCATTCAGAAAATAGTTAAAATAAGACAAAGTTCTCAACTGCTTTTCTCAAAGTTTAAAACATCACCTCTGTTTTCTCAGTCAATTCACGGCGTGTTTGATCCAACTGATTTTGAACTTCACTTTGGGACTCCAATAAATGCAAGCCATACTGTGCTGCCTTTCTTCGCTCATTCTCTGCTTCCTTGAGTTGCTGTCTGAGACTTAAAATGGTCTCTGTCTCCATTTTTCTTCCTTTTGTTACTTCAGCATTGCAAACACAAAATGATCAAAAATTATATTGCAGTAAATTACAGTAGTTAATCTGAAAGAAGTTACTGGATTTCCTTTCTTAATCAGGATACAAGGACATATTTTTGAGTTAATACAAGACAAAAGAAGATAGTTCATGATCAAACAGTCCTGTGAACAGTAAAATAATAGCTGTTTCTCCATAAATTTGGTTAACATCTTATTCCTGACTATGTCTTAAATAATAGCACACAGCAAAACAACTGCTGTGAGCCCAGCCCGGTTTCCTAGCACACCTTAAGCAGAGTTGATGGAGTATATAGCTATCTTGCCATCTGCAAGAAAAGACTAGGAAAGAATCTTGTAAAACCACTTTTATGCATATGGCTGACAATATTATCTGTGGTATTATAAATAAAGCCACACTAACTATAGCATGACTTGCGTATACCAATAACACTTAAGATTCTTGTAGGCAACTGTACTAGCGGGAGAGTTTATTCCTAATAACATTATGTGGGATATAGAAACAGATAAAGGTAGTTGAAGGAAAAAGTCAAAAATAGAAACCCTTTTAAAATATATAGTATTTTAACACTAGGAGTTACCCAGCTTCCTATAAAAGAAGAAAAAATTAATTTTAACATGCAAAAGCACATCATGCCAAAACTGTGCTAATTCCTTTCACAACTACAAGATAGATATTATCACATTCTGGTTTTCATGTTTTCCATCACTTGCTGTTATTCAAGTTTAACACATACAAAGAGAACGTATCCAGCCAGGCTCTGAAACTTCAGTTTTTCACATCTAACCATTACATTGCTTGAAATACTAGTTTTGTATGCTTATGCTAAAATAAGGCAGTGAAAGACAGGAATTTTGCATACTGACAACTAAGAATCAGCAATATTACTACTAGTGTAAGGACACCTACACTGTGTACAATTTAACAATTAAATGTTTAACAGTAAGATGTAGCAATACAGGCACATAGGCAACCACTCCTGGCATGCATTTTAATTAGAAAAGCAGATGAATTAATTCACTTCATAAACAGAATTTTTATAATAGCTTTATTTTCTGATCAAACAAACTGTAGAGGCAACATAGCAACTTGATTGCTCCCAACTTACCAAATTAGAGCAACATTTTAAACTCACCTTCAGAAGTCCATTTAAAGCTTTCTTGACCTTATTCTCATATACCACCTTAAAAAAGAAAAAAAAAAAGCAACAGTTGTCTAGTCCCGATGAGTATAAGCTGCCATTATAGCACAGTCCTTCATAGCAGTCTTTTTCTGAAAAGGCTTAACTCCTGCGGCTGTCCCATGAAAATGCAGATCACAAACTAAAACCCCATAGAAATGCAAATCTTATTCAAATCTCAGTTGAGGCAGCTGTCAGATAGTTTAGAAACAGCCAGATCAGGCAATGTTGCCAAAGGATAGATGCTCTGCAATTGGCCTGTGGGGCAAGTAAACAGGCTACACCCCGGGTCACCTTCTTCTAGCACACATATAATTTTTAAGGGTTGCTTGGGGATTTTGTCTTATGCTCTCCTACTTCTTCAATCTCTTTTGCATGCTCTCCTCCAGTTTCATGTACAAGATCTTTGAGCTCTTAATAAATCATTTACCGGATAATATTAAAAAAGATATTAAGCTTTTCAACTTTATAGTTAATGAAAAGAGAAATAGTTTTCCTATTCACATGTTCCTTGTCAACTCTTAGGGAAAGCAGCAAGTACGGCTTTCAGAGCACAGGCATCCTCAACTTTTCATTGTCAATTTTGGATGAAGTTAATCAGACAAGTCCAGGTAGCTTTAATTCATAAACCTGTATAGTTATATAGGGAAGTAACTGCTTGCATTTTAATATTATACATGAGGGTAAGGAAGCCACCCCAAAAATAATGCTTTAAGATAGATTAAATAGATAGTAAGGCGAGCAGGTAGGGGGTGAAATAGCAGACATAAGTCTCCATTTATTCTACCAAGAGTTACAAGTTGCTCACTTTAGGCTAATTATCTTCAAGCATTTTATGACAGATTCTTCACTGAGGGCTCCAGACCTTGATTACGCAACCATTTAAGTACTCCTTGATAAAAATAGGGTAGGAGATAAAAAGGCACCCTCCTGGCACGCAGACTTCCTTCTCCCTGTAACTGCTTTTCTAGTTAAAGTGCTACTCCCAGGGGTCACGTGCGACAGCCACCTGTGTTCTTATCTACTCGGAAATAACTACAGAGTCTTCTGATCGCTCGCATAACTAGCAAGCTAGTTTCTCTCCCTTACAATTCCCTTCAGTTACTTAAGTCCATTTCTTCACCTACCAAGTTGCACGCTCAAGCTGAATTATTTTCAGGGCTAATCACTTTCCACAAAACACATTCTCAGGTGGATAAGTACTACAGAGAATAAAGAAAAAAAAAAAATATCAGACTACAGCCTGATCTTTCAGGCACTGCGAAGCAGCCGGCCAAGCGGCGCCCGGCTCTGCCAGCACCCTGCTTGAACCGCGCGGCGGTGCGGCTGTTCTCCAACCGGGGACGCCGCCCCTCTGCAGCCCAGGCCGGCCCTTCCACG